TGTGTTTCCCCATCACGGGGAAATACCTGCAAACGAAGGGAAATTTATTAAAATGTTCAAGCAGGCTGTCAACTCGCAAACAATTATCTCCTCGGGCTTTTCATAAAGAAATAATTGTCGCCCCCAAAGGATTCTGAAAGTCAGGGGCTGAAGGAGGAACACAATTCCCGGCGTTTACTTCCTTGCTGATGGCATGTGACAACCAGGAAGGGTTCCCTTTCAAACACAAGCAGGATTCCACCTTCCCCCCCGCCCTGTAAACAAGTCGTGGTTCTCCACAAAACTTCCGAACGCACTTTAGTGAACACTTAGCAATCAGACAACAGTTGCTGTCATCTAACAGCGGATCCCAGTGTTCAGGGGGCCACGAGGCTAAAGCAAACGCCTCTCTGTCGGGAGCCAGGAGGTTCCTGGACTCTCGTTAGCCTCCAAAACATGTTTCATAGGAGGGCAAAGTACAGTCCAAAAACCAGTTAGGCTGACTTCCTTCAAACTCTAATCTGGTTAAACTCATGACAACAGGGACTATCTCTTGAGATCTCTAAAGGTCTCCGTGTGTTGTGACCTCTCTCTTTCCTCGGAACCCGGCGCTGCCTCTGAGAAAGCCCAGTCCCCAGGACCTCACCCAACCCGGCTCTCTCTCCCCGCCAGGCAGGGCACAGCCTGGCAGCCCAAGGCCTCCCCTAGGCCAGGCTTCCTTCTGTGCGGAGCTTTGGGTAGACCTGCTAATCCTTCTGATTAATTAACCTGAGAATGGCGGTTGACTAGAAAGCAATATGAATGCTAACTATCTAGGAAACTTTCAACCAAAATTATTTCAGCCTTTTGGTTGGTGTTCCTGGCGTGCAGAACTGTGCACTGAGAATCTGGGCCACGTTCTGGTTGCAGCACTGAAACATTCCGGGATGCCGGCTTTATATCAGACCTTAAAAACTCAGGTTTTTAAGGTTTACCCGTGTGTATTTTTCTAATCATTTACACTGGAAAGAAAAGTGAGGTCCTCTCCACACGTTGGCATACGTTTGGGGAGGGTGGGAATGGAGGGTACGTCGTGATGTGACTGAAAACAATCCTCAGTCCTAAGGAGGACAGTGCACATCGCTCCCTTTGGCTGGTCCTCCACACCCTCCTCCTGGCACAGCCCGCATCCTAGAGGGAGCACACGTGTGTCCCTGGAAGGTGTGTGGTGCGAGGCTAGCGTGCTTCTTGTGTGTTGTTTTGCTTTGCTTTGCTTTCACATACGCCATAACAAAGGCAATATGGGGAAGAGGTACCACCTGCCCAGGAATCATTGGACATCTTTAATATCTTTGGGAAAATGGAGGCCATTTAAAGCTTTCTTTTTTTATTTTTTTTCCTCCTTTTTTTTTTTTTTTTTGCCTTTAATCTGTCCTAATTTTAAGAGATTAAAAAAAAAAAAAAACCTAAAAATAAAAAAAGAAAGAAAGGGTTTTACATTAGCTAAGGTTTGCAGCAGCAAACAAGCAAGCAGCTTTCATTCAGGGATTGTCAGAAACTTTCCAGTGTGCCCACTGCAATGCGGATGCCAACCAACGAATCAAAGGCATTCAGCAACTAGACAAAGAGGGTCTGATGCCAACCTCGGTGCCACTGGCAACCATTATTGGCATCAAGCACACTGTCTGCCTTTTTTTTCCCCCTCGCCTGGCACTTCACAAACAAAATGGCGGTTCTTGTAGCAACGAAACAGCCGAAGCGCAGCCCTCTGCATCAATAACATCCAGGGATTTTTATGGATTTAAACGCAGTGACTCCCAAATGGTGTGTACATTTTAGATAAAGTGGGAGGGGTTACAGAATGTTATAGATGACCCTTTGCTAATGTAGAGAAATAGGAAAAATGGACTAAATTGCGGCCAACCGGGCTATAGGCACAGAAGAAGCTGAATAACAAAGAGGTTGAGCTTTAAAGGAAATACTGCCTTGCGGCCATGTGATGCAAAAGTCTAATGAACTATATATCAGAAATGATTTCGAGATGCATAAATTTCCCCCGAAACCATATCAGATGCAGATGTAGCACTATAGCTTATGTCAAAGCTATAGTAACTCTTTCCACATTTTAAAAAAAAAAAAAAGATGAGGCTTCTGGGCATGAAAAAAAAAAAAAGTGTGTGTGTGTGGGTTGAACCAAAAGAGAAAGAGGGAAAAGGAAAAGCATAGGAAGTTGGTCCACAATGGGAACTTTATTAAATGTTGGTCTTTATTTCCTCCTGCAGAAGAGATGCAGTTTATGATCTTATATAAATAACCAAGAGGACTATTGACATCTCTAGATCTGGAAATTGTCAATATATTGTAACATCACTCCGCACTGCAATGCGGATGCCAACTAACAAATCACAGGCATCCTGAGCTAAACAAAGAGGGGCTGATGCCAATCCTGGTGCCAGTGGCAACCATCTTTGGCATTCTCCCTGTTCCCTCTCATGTTTTCCTCCCAGTCGTTTGGAAGTGAGGCAAGAAAGAAAAAAAAAAGGGGGGGAGGTGGTGGAGAAGGTAATTTTTGTTGCTCATTCTATGGCAAACATCACATTTTTCTTTTCTGGTTTTTCTTTCATGTTTTTCTTTGTACTTCTTTACCTGATTTATAAAACAGACGTAAGTGGGTTTTCTTGTACTTAGAGGAGGAATAAAAGGTCACTGTGGGAAACGGGCAGTCCTCACCGACTACAGACTTATCTTTTAAGATGCCTTCATTAATCAACTGCAAAACGACATCCTTAACCTATATTTGCCACAAAAAAAAAAAAAAAAAAAAAAAAAAAAGTTTTGATAAAGGGAAAACACAAAAGCATCCTGATGTGATTTTTTTTTTCCCCCCAAAGAAAAAGCCCACAGATGTTAAGAAGAGATGATGTACTGGCAGGTAGGAAAGGATACAAATTAGATGCACAGGCTAAAATAATGGAAGGTTTTTATGATGGAGCAAAATCAATGCTGGGTCTGAAAATATGTTGGACACTGCAATGCGGATGTCCAAGAGTTGCTTCAAACTTTATGATTCTCGTGACTGATGGTGCAATGCAGAAAACATTTTATGCGTGTTTCTTTTCTTTCCTCAATCTATCTTCACAAATCTAAGGGATATGTTCTTTATTGTCAGTTCATCAATCCAGAGATTTGGCTGCCTGCCCCGGGAGTGGATGTACATACGTACACACCTCACGTACTAGCCTTCAAGCAAGTTAAAATGTGAGCAGCAGTCAAATGCTTGCAAACCTTCCCCGCACTGCACTAGAAAGTTGCATGACCCACTTTTTAAAAACTTGACTTCTAGCCTTGACTTTCATAACACAGTTACAACGTATGTACAGTCAACCCAGCACATATACACAACCCACCTTACAATGTCACCTCCTAGACGGCTGCCAATCAAATGAAGTAGTCATGTGCTAATGAGCTTTAATTTTAGGACACATAAAGTGAAAATACATATTTTCCCCAAACCATCATTACTTGGACTTTAATTCCTAAATATATAGAAATAATAAATGTAATATTTCCTTTTTTTAAAAAAAAAAGCAGTATTTCCCAATATGTGATGTCCAGCACTATTATTTAAATCAAACTAAAAAAAAAAAAAAAAAAAAGTTAAATGACATTTAAGTGTATCTCTAAAATTGTATCAAGGAAAGATAAAGACAAAAAGCACACGGTAAGTTACTTAGATTTGAGTCAAAGAGTAATTCTGATGGTTTATCTTCTGGATGATAATGAAGTTCATACCACTATATTAAATCCCGCATTTATTTGACAAACATCAGATAACTGTCTGCCACCTGACGATCTATTTTCCCTACCTCCAGGCCAAGTTAGGAAATAATTCACCATGTGTAGCAGATCAAACTTCAGTCCACTTTTGGTATGCTGTTTTTCAAAACAATGTTTTACTATGGACTGTTGCTATTACCAGGACATCTATATCCTGACACAATGATTTGAAGAAAAGAAAGTCTCACCTACTTAAGGAAAATATGTGAGAAAAAAAATAAAAATAGTAAGGAAACATATTTCATCGACTCAAAAAACACTCAGCAAAAATATCACCTATTTTTGAATTATTGAGGCAATATTTATATCACTCTCTTTATCAAGTAATATTTTTTTAAAAAAATAGGTATGGTATGTGATTTCTGCATTCTTTTTTAGATTTATTTTAAACCAGTGTAACTGGTCCACTTCCTTTTTTTTTTTGTTCTAGCAGAAGAGCTGCAACTTTTCTCCCCTGCAAGTTTTATGAATTTACATTTAAGTAAACTAACAGTTTGAAGTGTTCCAAAGTCACCCTGGAAAAATACGATAACAAATTATTTAAGCAACAACCGTCTACTTAGTCCACCGAGAATATCATACAATCAAAAGCAGGTATTAATAGAAACACTTAAATTAAGTAAGTCTAGGTCTGCGTAAAACATACTCTCTGGCATTGGCTATCTGAGCATTTCGTAGTAAGAAGCGTTAATTCTATTTTCAGTGCAATAGCACTAGAATCATGAACCAGGTTCACCTCCCGCATTAGTTATGAGGCTAGTACTAAGACTATTAAAGCGCGGTTCGACTATTCATAAATAACGTTACATTTTTTCACATGGAGAAAAGATGGTGCAAGGAAGGTAGCCTGAGACCAAAACGGTTAAGTTGTCATAAACCATTTTTTTTTTTCCACACTATTCTGTGTCTTTGAAAAAGATAGATGCTTTCAAAGACATTTGCAAACGAATCTCTTTGCGGTCTCTCTTTAAATGCCCACGCCTACCCAGGTAGGAACGCGCCGTGTCTATTTCCAAGGGCTTGCACACGGCAGCGGACACCTGAGCATGCATGCCACTCCACCCAGAGCACCCAGAGGGGGCGAGGAGGGAGACCTAAGGGGCCTCCAGGACCGTTAACCCCGAGCCCAGACATCCCGGACTCGGGACGCGTGGGCAATGTTTGCATGTGTGCGGTGCGAGAAGAAAAGAACAATCGGTTCCTACCTTGCTCCTGCACGTAGTATGCCAAAAACAAATCAAGCTCCTTAACTGACACTGTGATATGATGTGGCTGGACACAAAGTGCTGGGTTTGTGCAATGAGGGGATTTCATGAGCCGCTCTCCATCGGTACTTTCCAAAGGGATGCCTTTGAACAGGATCACCATGACTAGATCCAGACGCCAGACTTTGTCTGCCTGCCGCAGGCAGTCGATCCTCCTAATCTTACCCTTCTGGTCGGGGTTGGATAAGACACAGCACGGGTGCTTCTTGCCAGTCACGGTGAGCACAAAGTCCTCCCGGTACTCCTGGCGAATATCTTTGCGCAGTTTGGCCAGGAGCCTGGATGCCCACTTCTGCTTGATCTCGGGCTTTTCGCTGAGGAGCTCATCTTTGACGGCTCTCTCTTCGTCCTTGGACATCCGCTTCTCGTGCTTTTTAAAGTACTTGCGTTTCCGAGCCTGCAGGTTGAACCACGTATAGGCGATTGCACGGACGTGTGGAAGGAGGGCCTCGATGAACGGGTGAAATTCATCCTGCGGGAGGCGACAAAAAAAAGAAAGAAAATAGACACGGTCAGGTTAGCTTTAAAAGGCTCACATGAAATAAAATAACAAAGTGAAATAAAATAAGACCAGGATGCGTTCCCCACTCAGCACAAAAAGTTATGCATTTAAAATAATAATAATAATAATAATAGTATTCTTTCCTTATTGAAAATGACCAAAACAGTAGAACAATTAGAAAATCAAGCCATGCCAAGCTGCCCCCTTTTCCACCAAAATGCACAGGTGGATGCTCCCTCCCAAAAAAAATAAAATAAGGTTTACGTTTGTATTTCCACTCTGGCCCCATCCCCCTCGTTCCCACCAGGCAGCCTGCATTCTTTCGAACGTAAGCAACCAAGGTGCTTGGCACACGATTCAATATTTAAATATTGGCTTGACCAACTAACACATGACGCAGTACCATTTTACAAAGAACACAGTGAGGTGCCTTTTCTTTTTTAAAAAATTGGAGCAGAGCTGTTCAGAAGGCAGGAGCCGTGCCACAGTTCATTTCTCCCCTCTGTGGCACAGAAACACAAAGCATATAGATGCTCAGTGCAATGCCACATAGTTCCCGCGTTTGGAGCATGCTCTCAGCAAGAGGCTGCTGGTGGCACAAAGAGCATGCGCCATTAAACTTGATCCATTTTCTTATCAAACGTCCAACATTCCAACACTGAAACAGCACCATTCCAAGAGCAGTAACTAGAGAAACCGGTATACAGTGAGGGAAAGTGGGCAAAGGACGCCAGCCCGGGCATCCGTGTCCCAAACAGAGGTTTCCATACTTTGAGCAAAATGCATTCACGCCCTCCATCACCAGGAGCCCTCACCACACACACACACACACACACACACACACACACACACACACACTCCCCTGCTCTCTCACAGACACGCAGACACCCTCTTGCATTTTTTTTTTTTTTTAAAGAAAAGTTTGTAAAGTTGAGAACGCAAACGGCACGCATGTTCTCCCGGCAGCTTTCTCTATGGAATCCGAAGCCCCACGGCCCCAGTTAGTTTGTTAACTGATCACATGAGTTACAGCAATTATTCTAAGCGCCTTTAAAAAAAAAAAAAATCAGTCCGAGGTGAACAATGAAAAATGGCAACTTGGCACCAACTTTACATTCTTTGTGTCTCTGCATGTCGTGGCAGGGTGACACCGGGATTGCATGGCTGGTCACTCGCTGCTTTTGTGGAATCAATATGATTCACTGGCTACGCTCATGGGCTCTCGGGCAGGACTGTGGGTGCCCCTAGCATGTGCTTGTGAGTCTGTGCGAGTACAGAGCGTGTAAGTAGCCTATCCTCTGCATTAAGTGGTGTGTGTGTGTTTTGTTTTGTTTTTTACCTTAGGCTCCTGCACATTTTTTTTTTCCTGCCTGCTTCCATCTAAGCCTTTTTCAAGGAAGGGAAGCACAAGGCGTGGCAGATAATCTCTACCTACAAATATTTCAGGTTGCTTTCCAAAGCAATCCGTGTTTCCTTATTTCCTGCCGACGACGGTAAAACCTGTCTCGTGAGCTCGGAAAAAGCCCTGAAACTCGTGTGCATGCAAACTGCACGCGTGCAATAGGCTAAGATGCAAAGCAAGTAAGAACTCCCACCGCAGCCACTGTTCTGGTCACGTTAACTGTATTGTCACTCCAGCCGGCCAGGAAATAACTTTCTCTACCTGGTCATCTCCCCAGTTAGGATGTATGCACTAGGGACGGTCACCCCGGACTCTGTGGAATAAATTCTGTTTCACCAGCAGACTGATGAATTCCATTAGGTCAAGACGATAAAAAGTACAACTAATGGCACCCTAACAAAGAAGGTGTCCCCCAAACACCATGTAGTTAGGAATCCATTTTTTTTTTTTTTATGATGAGACGCAAAGTTTCAATGCTAAAGACTGCGGCGTGTTAGCCGTCTGCGGTTCCGAAAAGGAAGGGGTGCGTGTCCCATCCAATCAAGAATGCGGTCATCAAGTGTTTTAACATATTGCCATAAAAACGCTCCTACGACAGGATACGTATAAATCAAAACGTTATAACACCGCAGAATACAGATGATTATATCACAGCATGAGGCATAACCAAATGCCATGGAGGAAATCATTAAACCGATCAGTAGTTTCCAGCAGAGATTTGAACAATTCAGTCACTATGCGAGCACATTAAACTAGGCCATGGAAAGAGTTAAACCACAATCTGTTCTTTGTGTGGGAAGGCAGCCCTGCTCGCAGCCACCACAGCCCATGATAAGACCTCCCTCCCTATCTCCCTACACTTTCTGATGCCATGCTTTCGGCTTTCACTGCAGCTACAAAAAGTTTGTTGATCCCCCTTCGGAACACATGCAGAAGGAAACCCTTGCTCAAGGAAACATGGACTCAAACATGCTCTGGGAATTCACTTCCTATACAGAACCTAACTTTTAAACTATGATTTATTGATACGACGAAGCAACGTACATCCGAACACTCATAAAGGAAAAACTTGAGAATGCAGAGAGTACATGGAGGGCAGCTTTGTGTCACTCCTTTTACCCTTGCCAGGCTTTTGAAAATGCAGGCTTATTTTAACAGATAGTAAGCAATGCGGGAACTCTTAAGTACCTGCATCCTTAAGGACTATGTTCAGTGACATTTCCTTTTTCTTATGAAGACATCAAACGTATTTTTTATTATATTTGTTTGCATTTCAAATCATCTAGCATGGAACGCATCTCAAAATTTTAATAAATTGTTTTAAACAATCACACTGCAAGTTGAGGGTTGAATTTGGAATGTCTCAGTAAGTGCACACAAAAACAATGTTTTATGAAGTTGCCTTGAGTTTGTCACCAAGTCATGTTTTAAAACATTTTTTTTACTATTGTTAAATAAAAGTAGCAAACTTTCGCAGTCCACAAAGTTGCCCTAATATATTATGAGGATTCCATTCAAGTGAAGTACTTACTGATAAAATATGTCCACAAAAAATGATGCTAAGTAGAGGTTTGCAATGTCACATTATATTTCTGTATTAATGTGCCTAAAATGTCATCTTCTAAATATGGTTGTTTTATAATACTAAGTTGCAACATACTTTTCATAATTTTGGGTGGCATAAATATGAAGCACAGCAACTGTCTTCATTAAAAAGAAGTGATTTAGGTATTCAAATGTCCTAATTAATAGATTATCACAATAACACTTTAAACAACTATGAAAATTATTTTTTAAAGCAAGGCATCAAAGTGATCTAAGACCTAACGGCTCTATATTATCACCTTGCTCTTTCAGAATTTTTATTAAACTACAACTGAGATTCAGTAATGCTCTTTGAAAACTTCTTTTAGTTTAACTACATTGATAAAATAAATAACAAGTTACAAGTTTGAAATATAAAAGCAAACAGCCCTAATTCCACTAAAAACATTGATTTTTCTTCACAGCCACAATGGTTTCCACAGAAAGAATGGAACATGAGACCAATATAGTTGGTAATGAATAAATACTAGATGTTCTTGGAGTATTGCTATTTAACAATAAACCATTTAAAAATGTAACTAAAGAACTTGAAAGACAATGAAAAAACATCAATTCAAACATGCCAATGAAAGTTATATTATTAAGGATTTTACAGTAATTTTAGAAAAAACAAATACTAACTTGTATATAATGGTTTCTAATTGTCCTTTTATATCTGATTCACAGTGATGTATAAATACTGATTTATAAATACTGATTTATATTGATTCACTGGTACTTTTGCATAACATTCTGCCACATATCAACTTTAACTGTAGCTCTTTTTGAATTAAAAATCTTTCTAAAAATCTCGACATTTTAACAATTGAAACTTTATAAAGTTTTCAACCAATTAAGAATATTTCTCTATTTTGTATTTTAAAATCCAAAAGAAGTGTTTTGCTACAGTTGCAAGACTCTTCCAGTACAAAACGAAATTATTGATCTGATGTTAAATCAACATAATTAAGGTGCCCTCACTTTTGCAACACCTTACATTACCTATAAAGCCACATAGGAAGTATTAGCTAAGTGAGAATTCTAAAGCTAAAATTCCTTCTCTTGCATAGACTTTAAATCCCAAAATAGTTTTAATACATCAACATAGATTTACATTATTAAACAGTAGGTAATATTAGTCACCATGAATTAGTGTTGGTAAGTATGTTTTCTTGACTACTAATGTGATAGCTGAATGATGATGCGGTATATGCTTCGAACAGTCCATATGTCTAGATGCTGCAATTTTATTTTTAACTTGCACAAATTAGTGAGTTTTTAATACATGTTTAGAGGAAACAAAAAAAAATGCAATGTATGTGAATCACTAGCAATGTTTCTAAAAAGCCAATTCTGGAAACATAAATTAAAATAGAAAAGCAATCCTGTACAGGTGAGAATAAGGGAGTCAGTACTTTGCAAGTGTAAAGCTTATCTCAATTTGTTGCATTTGAATATTGCTTCAATAATGTAAAATTAATATCAAATGGACATAGTTTACTAGAAAGAGAAAAAATGATGATGGGTGATATGAAACACCACTTTTACAACTAAAGGAAATTCGTTTTACCTGAAACAGTTCAATCATCGTATTTACTGGTCATTATTCTTAGCTTTTAAAGGACAAATAGCTCAGCAACTCATTTTTTCCAGTTTTGTTAAATTAAAGTGCACGTTTACTTGCTGAAATAGCCATATCTAAGTTAATCATAGTCAGATGCCAAACAAAATATAAACAATAAAAAATGTGTCAGCCAAAAAGCTACAGGACTGTATCCAATCACTGAATAAGCCTTATCATTGTTTTCATCTTCATTCACAATTTATGAATGCCTCAGTTCTTTTGAATCACAATGGCTTCTAATTGTCATACAATTGAAATCTTAACCATTTGTCGCTTATAAAAATGCACCATCATGATATTGGAATATTTTTAAATTGCAACACACCTGAGAGGAGGTGACACTTGTTTAACTGTCTAGTCTTTATGCCAATGTCAAAGAAATGACCCATCATGCTACATCCTCCTAAAGGCTAAAGTAAACTGTCCCACACCTCCAGAGGGTTAAAATGCTGCCTCAAATAACAACTCTGGGCTAAGATACTTAGTTAGTTCCTCAGTTGGTTAGTTAGTTGGGGCAGCGATGAAAAACCACCTCCCAGGTACGTAGGCTCAGTCTGGTCACTTTTCCTCAACTGACCGTCTGCTTTAAAATTATACAAACCCTGTCCTTTCCAAAAGTATAAAGCCAGGGTTTTATTCCATAACATTGTTCCTAAAGCCTTGGGATTTTTTTTAATTACTTTACTTTTTCCACCATTACATTCTGCCTTAGGAGCTACGCCAAATGAAGATCGTCAAATGAACAGGTCTCCACACACACACACACACACAAAAAAGAAGAACGTGTTCTCTAAGTCCTTCCTCTTCACCAGGACCAGCTAACTGGTGTTCAGGTAGAGACTACCTCTGTGGTGTGGTCCCTGTGAACCGCAAAGTGCAGATCAAGAAGGGACCAGAGTGTGAGATCCCCAAATTAAGCAAAGGAATGGATCCCCCGGACCACAACCTCCTCCGCCTGGCTTTCGTCGGTCGCCGGGCCACAGCCTGCAGCCAAGTCCAAAGGCGCCCACGAGGACTCCCGCTAAAGTTCCCTCGTCCAAGTTCAAGAGTAGTTGGTCAGGGCTGACTCCCCCCAAATGCCCCTCTGAAGCCGAGCTTGCCTCAGTGCGCAAGAGCCAGAACCAGAGGGGCGGCGGGCACCTCGAGCAGAGGCTCCGCTCCGCAGCCCGCACCCAGGGGCCCGCGCGGGGACCGGCTCTCTCTCCTGTGGGCCCGGGCCCTGCCCACCCCGGCGGCGGCCTCGCCCTGGCAGCCCGCGGGCGCCCGCTGCTCCCCGTGCCCGCAGCGCCGGGCTGAGCGTGCGGAGCCGCGGGCTGGAGAGAGGCCGCGCCGGCTCCCACGCCGCCCGGTCCCATCCCATCGCAACTCCCGGCCACTTTTTCGAGGGATGGGGGTAGCGGAGGTTCACTATTAAAAAAAAAAAATACTTAACTAAAAAAGCCTCGAACTGTCTGCAGAGGAGAGCCCCACAACAAAAACAAAAGGCAATTTCGGGCTAGAGAGAACCCCCAAAAGAGCGATCAAAGACGCGTACCTGAGTGAGACAGATGGGAGAATACATCATGACTTCGCCTTAAAAAAATAAAACAAACACACGCGCTTTCCAGGAGATGCCCAAGAAAAATCTTCGAGAAGCCAGAATTTCATCTATTCATGTTCCAGTCCTCGGAGTCCCTCGGTGCGCGATCAAATCAGCTGGATCAAATCCGCTGGATCACCGCAACTTCACGACCAACCCAGGTCCTCCTTCAACAGCCACAAGATTCAAGTTCACTGGCGGCGCGCTGGATTTCCCGGCGTGAAATCCAATCTGCACTTGGAGACCTCGCAGTCCGAGCGCGCCCGCCGGCCCTGCTCTCTCCGGAGCCGCCGCCGCCTCCGCCGCCGCCGCCGGTGTGGGTCGCTTTCCGCCCGGGTTTGGGGATTTGCTTTCTGTGTTGCAGTTGCAGTTATTGTTGTTGTTGTTGTTGTTGTTGGGAGCTGGGAGGTGCGCGGAGGATCGGCGGTGCGGGTCGGATTGGGGTAGTGGTTGGTGAAGTGCTTTTTTTAAAAAAAGGCGGGGTGGGGGGCGCAGGAAAGAGGGCGGGAGCAAGAGCGAGCGCAGAGAATGTGTCACCGCGCTGGGAAAGTTCAAGGTTACAGCCCGGAGGAGCGCTGCCGCCGCAGGGTCCCCGGGTGGCGGTGATCTCGGGCGAAACTTTGCCGCCGCCGCGAGCCGCAGACCATGTGTGTGCGGAGAGGGAGCGCGGCGAGTGCGCGCGGGTGGCGGGGCCGCGCGGGAGAGGCCGGTGAGGGCGGGGTGGGTGGGGGGGTGGAGGGGGGAGAAGGGAGAGGCCGGGGTGAGGGAGGGGACGGGAGCACAGGTCTCCCGGGTGGAGGAAGAGGCTCCTGAGCACGGTCCCCGGCTGCAGCCGCCGCCGATCGCGCCGCCCGGCCGCCCACCGCGCCCCGCGCCTGACCCGCCGCGGGAGGAGGCTGCCGCCGCCGCTGCCGCCCGGAGCCCAAGGGGATCGGAGCGAGCTCCCGAAAAAATCCCCAACGATAAATCCCGCTCTCCCGCTCAGCTCGCGGCTCCAAACTCCTCTCTCTTCTGCACTGGGCTCTATCTCTCCCCCCGCCCCCTCCTTCTCCTCCCCTCTCTCTCGCTTTCTCTCCTTGCAAAACTTGGAAGTTGAAAAATTCACCGGTTCCACCCTCTGGACCCCGCTCGCGAGCTCTCTCCAAATCAGACTTAAGGATTGTTTTATTATTTAATTACACAATCATCGCTTTACTCCTCCTCCTCCTTCTGCAAGCGCGCATTCCTTCTGCACCAGCCTCTCCGCACCCCCGCCCCCCACTTTCCTCCTCCTCCTCCTCCTCCCTCCCTCCCTCCCTCCCTTCCTCCCTCCCTTCTCTTTTCTCTCTCTCTCTTCTATTTCTCTTTCTCTCTCTCTCTCTCTCTCTCTCTCTCTCTCTCTCTCTCTCTCTCTCTCATTTTTAAAGGTTTCATAGCAGTGCAACAAAAAGCATAGTTATTGGGGGGGGGGGGGCGGTTGTGTTTGTGTTTTTTATTGTGTTGTTGTTTTTCCAAAATAGATCTTTCCGCCCTTTTGGTAAGTCCCGCACCCTCCCCACAACCACACACACACACACACACACACACACACACACACACACACACCACGCGACCGCCTCCCTGGAGGAGAGATTGCGGTGCTGGTTGCGGACTCTTTAAGCGGCGGGGACATGAAGTGGGAGAAGCCCTGCGCCGGCCTGGGCCCGGGAAGGGGAAGGGAACGAATGGAAAATTCCCTCACACCCCGCCGCCCGGGGGCTCGGGCTGGGGCGCCGGCTCTCACACCCCGGCGGGCGGGCGGGCGCGGTCCGGCTCCCCCGCCGGCGGAGGGAGGAGGAGGGGGAGGAGGGGGAGGCGGGGACCGAGCGAACTTGGGCTAAGTAGTTGGGGCGCCGCCGGCGCGCAAAGAGGCGGGGTCCGCCGGGGTCTCCCCTCGGGGGCCCGAGCCCCAGGGCTGCTGGGGAGAAGCTGCGCCCTCCCCGGGATGCCCCCGCGCACGTGGCCCAGCTCGGAGAGGGAGGACTGGACCGAGCCGCCGCCAATGCCTGCTCCCTCCACCTCCCCCTTCTCCTCCCCCTCCTCCCCATCCCGCGGCCGCTCGGCTCCCTTTCTCCTGCAGCTCCGCTGGCTCCCTCCCAATCCCCCCTCCAGGGCCCGGGGCGCCGGCGGAGAGCGGCTCCCTCCCGCCGGGCGCGGGCTGGGCGGGGCCCGGCGCGCTCGGGCTGCGGGGCGGGCGGCGCGGGCTGCGGGAGCCGCTGCTGCCCCGCAGAGGCGGCCTCGCCCGCCCGGCTCCGGCGCCCGGGCCCCGCCCCCACCGGGCAGCCGGCGGCGGCTGCCCCCGAGTGAATGAACTTGATTTTGGGTCTTTGGAGGGCGCAGGTTTTTGCTTTTGCACCCTTTCTCCCCGCGGCACACACACACACCCTGGCACGCTCGCAGACGCACGCACACCGGCCCCCAAATTCCCCCCAAATTTCCGCAAAAAGAGGTGGAAGCCAAGGCTGTCTGTCCAGACAATGGAGAGGAAAAGTGAGCGCGGAGAACTCCGCGGCTACCTCGCTCCAGGCTGCCGCCGAATGGGGCTCCCCTACCCCAACCCCAGGAGGGAGAGACCCCCTACTTCCAACTGTGCCTTTGGGGGTGCTTCTAGGCTCTCTCCCCGGATCCCCTGTTTCTCTTACCCTCTTCTCCCTCCCTCTGGATTGTTTTTTTGTGTGTGTGTGTTTTTTTGGTTTTGTTTTTTTTTTTTTTTTTCCTCAACTTTCTCCTCGCCCGGTCTCACCCGCTTCTGCCCAGGGTCCTCTCCGTCCCCACCCCCAATCCACCCCCTCCTCTCCCCTGCGCGGACCTGCAGGAACCAGTGACTTTTCCTTCCCCAAGTGGGAGTTATCCACATCAAGCATTTCACCAGGACACATCAAGAAAAAGTAGGCAGGTTCAAGTCAACCATGAAATGGTCACTTTTTAACCCCGTCCTGTCCTCATTAGGGAAATGCTCAAACACAGTCCGTTTTCAAAGGGCGCTCCTAATGAGGCGAGCCTGCCAAGTCTACCAGCTGCAGCCCCCGTAAACCCGGAGCCAGAGAAGAAAGGGCTGGGGGGGGGGGGAGCGGGGAGGAGGCCGGGGAGAGGGGGCGGCGGATCTGGGAAGGCAGGTAAAGTCGGGGAAATTTCGAGAACTAACCCCGAGTTAACCCTTTAGGGCACAGCCCTCCTGCTCCCTCCCCGAGGCAAATCCTCCAAGTCAGCTTTCTAAAGGACGTTCATTTCCTTTGTGTGGGCCTCTTCTTCTTCTTCTTCTTCTTCTTCTTCTTCTTCTTCTTCTTCTTCTTCTTCTTCTTCTTTTTTGAAAAGTCAGGGTAAAGTTGACAGTCTTTGCAGATCAAAGGGACGAGGTGACCGCGGGGGTTAATCCAAATAAATACTCATTTATCTCTCGGAAATGTTAGGCAATCTCGTTTTAAATGTTTTTTTTTAAATAAAAAAAAATCCCCCAAGCATCACTTTGTATTGTCCATGAGCACATTACACTCCATCCCTTTCTCACCGGCGGGGCGGGAGGGGCTGTGGGGGTGGAGCGGGCAGGGAAGCTCTCCTGATAATACCAGCTTTAACTACTAGAGTTTCCCTTTGAACAGATATTCAATTTAACCGGAGTTAATTTACCATAAAAGACATTCCCCGTGGCATAAATGCACTCATGTCCTTGAACACACCTCTTTGAATGCCTGGACTCTTACAAAAGCCATTATTTTTCGGGGTCTCTTTAAAAAAAAAATCAAGTGCCGTGTGTGTGTGTGTGTGTGTGTGTGTGTGTGTGTGTGTGTGTGTGTCTTTTCCTCCCTCCTTCCCTCCCTCCTCACCCACACCCCCAGTGAAATCCTGGCACCCAGAGAGCACTCCTTTCAGCCAGAGATCCAGCCAGCCGCTGTCCCCTGGCAAAAGAGGCCCAGTGCTGAGCCCTGGGCAAGTGTCTGCAGACATCGCTGCCCCTCCTCCTGATGAGTTTCCCTCACCAACAGAAACCATTTCCTTTTGTCACCAAAACTAGGTTGCATCCAAAAGTTTCTCACAGGCTTAAAAAGGGGAAAATGGACAACGGTTACCCAGAAGAGAGCCCACAAAAGCTGCAGCCACACACGAGGGGTAAAAGGAGCAGCCACAGACACAGGTAAGCCCCCAGAGAAGACAGCCTGGGGCCTCCCAGGCCTATCCCTTAGGGGATCCAATCTCTCCCAGGTGCTTCCATGTCTGTAGGGCACTTATGGGTAGATACAGTTTTGATGGGCACAGGGGATGCTTGAGTTGGGTTTTGATTTGTTTCCAAGAAAGAGGAAATGAGGAAGGAGTGATTTTGATGTGAGGAAAAGCCAGGAGGGAAGAGGAAGAATAGGCAAAAAGAGACATCCTGGAAGGGCTCACGGGGTTGGGTGCTCACATGTATATGGCTTTGACTGTCCTCTCATAGGCAGGATGGCTGACATCCGCCAAAAACACTGCTTCTGGGCCAGCCAATGCCAAGGTCACTGCAGGCCTTCCCAGGATGAACTCTAAGAGAGCCCTTTGGAAAAGAGGGGACTGGTGTGTTTGCCTGTGGGGGACATCTGGCTTCTCTCAGCACAACACTTGTCCTCCACTATCTTTGGTTTGAGAAATACCAATCCTTTAAATCCCCAGAAGAGGAGAGAAGAGGAAGTGAGAAAGTATTTACATGTTATCTACTTTTCTTCCCCCCCCCCCCCCCCAATATGTCTGTGCCCTGGTGTTAGGAGTGGTTGTAAAGTATCTCCGAAAAGCTTCTGATACTGTAAAAATGGGTCAGCTCCTTCTGAGGCTTTGGTACTTACCTCTCCTAAGTTCTTTCTTCTCTCTCCCCCACACTGAAAGGGCTTAGAGACAGGCCAGTTCCGTTCACCTCATATGCTGCTGGCTTGAAGAGCTAGAAAGTGAAAGGTTCCTGCAGCAACAGGAAAATCTGATATTTCAGAATTCCTAAAGATTTCCTCCGTGGATCATCTATTACCTGCAACCTTATATGGGGGAAAAAAAGTTTCTTTTCTGACAGGTAGTTTATTGATTTGGAGAAGGAATGCCTGGGCTGCAGGTGACTGGGTTTTTCAAAACTCAGTATAATTGCAAAAAATGGAGCAATGTTTACCCCACTGGAGCCTTACGCTGACCTCCAGAGAGGGACTTGACATCTCAAGTATCTCCTAATATTGATTTTCTGTTAACCTTCTCCTTTCTAAGGAAACTCAGAGACAGGTTGCAAATCCTAGGCAGTTTAGGGAAAAGTTTCTTAGAGCTTAACAAAGCTGTCATCTTCAGTACACCGGATGACTTTTTTTTTTTTTTTTTTTTTTTAGCTCTTGCCTGTGATTTGAGGGGAGGCTCAACAATTCCACACACCCTGGCTTCATTGCCAATATCAATATTTTAAAACTAAATACAAAAGAGACAGATGACCTCCTGACCCCAGGAAATAGGCCTGCAAAACTGCAAGTACCCACTACACCATGCCCAGGAACCTCTCCTTCTTCCAAATGAACCACACACAAAAAAAGCATGTGTAGCTTGGAAAACACAATTTTATACCCACAAGCAGGAACACCAAAAATCCTCTCAAAAAACACATATATAAACAACCAACAAGTACTGACATTGCCTTTACTTGATGGGAATTGCAAAAGCATGCCCAGCTCCTTCAGCCTTTAAACTGCTACTATCAAATTAGGATAGCAATTTTTCCCTGCTGGAAAATTCACAACCAGTTACCTCCCCACCTCAGCCCCACCCCACCGCCAGGGCCTTGCCTTTCACTGAAATGCATAAATAGCCATAGACTTCTTTTTCCCTCCTCTGGGGGCTGTTTGGTGTCCCCTGAGAACAAAACTAAATGAGAAAAAATGACGCTGTTAATAATGTCATTGCTGAAATGCCTGTACTCAGTTGTTGTTGTTTTTAAAAAAAAAAAAAAGTGTCCCACCAAGTGTGCCTACATTTCAGGCATACATACAAGCTAAGACTGAATCTGAGCACCGACTGGGCCCTATTCCTCCATGAAGGTTAGACAGTTTCCACTTTTCCACAGAGACGAGGCCAGCTCATCAGCAGAGATTCCCAACTGCTGAAGGCATCTGCTCCCAGGGTTACAAAGTCAGCAGTCAGTGGCCCTATAACTTTTGCATGATTTATTTTAGACTTTGAAAACTACGGTAATAAGGGCCTTGTTTCACTCACAATAGTTCAAAAGTTACACGCTCTCTCACACAACAACCTCTGCTCTGCTGATACTGCACTGTAGTTATTGTCCTTTTTCAAAAGAGCTGAACGGTAAAGTAAAACTTACTGTCATTTTATTTCGCGTGTAAATTGACTTTAGCTACCCAGATACTCATGCCTCTGTGACATGAAAACAGGTCAGCTTTAAAGAGATGTTCAGAATGTTTTAACCAAGATGGCCAAGCAGCCATATTCTGTATTAGGTATAGAAAGTTCACTGCAAATCAACTCAAACTTTCTGCATCCCTTTCTCTAATTCTTCCCTTCAAAATTGCCATTCTACTTGAAAATCAAAACAATGAATAACAACATAATTGTGCATTTTAACTTTCAAATTAAAATTTAGTAAACACTTGCATAATTACAAAGAGAAAAGACAAAAAAAAATGAGCCCATACACATTTTTTTAGAGAGAACGGTATCCCTGAAATGAGTCTGAAAGATTGTAACACAAGTTAATAAATATCAGAGCAATAAAATTGTCCAACTGTGTGATGTCACAAACTCCAAAAGCGAAGTTACAGATGTTTGTGACATCACATTCGCTCATAATTATGCTGCTGCTCCATCTGACCATGTTAAAATGACATGGATGCCTATGTTTGCTAAAGAATAAAAAGAAATTTATTTTTGGACATCAAACAATGAAACTGTCACCATTTATTGTACGAAACACATAGCTAATCAATTTCCTATTAAAACAGCTTTCAACAATACTTAGCTTTTTTTAAATTCATCGGAGCCAGTAAAAACCTTTTCCCAGTGCACAAGAATGCAGTCCCAACCACGAAGGATAATTACCCTTCTAAATACTTTTATTGCCCAAGCACTTTTCCTGTGCTCCCCATCAGTTAAGTAGGAATCTGCAGTATATTGTATCAGTGAGTTGGAGTGCTTGACCTTTGCCCACATATGATTTAATAGGGACTTTTCAGCGCCTGAGCTTTCTCCATCTCTCATGCCATTAAATGAAAACATCAAACCTCAAATGTAAAACTGGAAACCACAACGTTTTGTGTTTCACAACTCTTTGCAGTTTCTCTTTAGGCTGCTTAAAGGTCAGCTGCTGCCTCTCACAGGGCTCCCCCCCCACCCCACCCCTACGGCAAATGTGCTCCAAAGTCACACTTACTCTGATTTTGATTAAATCTTCAGCTCTCCAGTCAGATACACACATGCGCCCTGCTTATTTACACATGCATTCTTTTCTAACCACATGAGCATGCATGTATGACTTTCTGGGATTTATGCTACTTTAGGGCTGATTTAAATGTCTGTTTGCGTCTGGGTTCCAAAGTTAACTTTTTCCTGCCTGCTGGAAAGTTAAAATTACAAAGTAGGGTGCCGCAGGATCCGTTCAGAGAAAGTTAGAGTTAATCTTGTGTATTTTGGCGCCCTTTCCCTGCCAGCTACTGTATTGAGGGGGGGGGGGGGGGAACGGGACTTGGAGATCTAGTCTGTCCTATCTCAAGTTCAATGGCAGCTCTTCTAACCCAGGAGAAAATGGCCATGTTCACAGACCTCATAATAATTCCAATCACGCCACTTCGGCATCTTGTGTCAAAGTCGAAACTGGCTTCCCCACCCCCTTCAACCCAAAAGCTGCCAAGTCCTCACACACTCTGCATTCAACCACAACTTAATGGATGGGATATTGTGCATTAAAATGTGTCCAGACTTACTGCCGAAGAGAGGACAAGGGAGACACACACACACACACACACACACACACACACACACAGACCTAAGACTTAGCAGGGGGTGGGGGATGAAATCCTAGGGCAAAAACAGCAGGGCAGGGGGGGGGGGGTTACTAGGAGCAGGAAGAAATCTATCATAATCTTTTGTTTTTCTAAGTGGGGAGGGGGAAGGGAGGAAGAGGGATAACAATTCAATCCTGCTTTGCAATGAATATGGATTTTTAAAAACTCTATCGCACCAATCAGAGCTAAATAGTACTTTCCCCTCACTTAAAAATGCACATTTAAATGAAAATATACAAATAAAACTGTGCATATTCATCTTAAAATGAAGAAAAGAAGGCTGTGCAAAAAGAGAGAATGGGCTACAAGGTATAAATACAGTATCATCTGTACAGTAACTTTTTCCAAAATTGGGGGAGGGGAAAGTAGGAAGTTGAAAACAGGAAAAATGCTACATTTCAGTTTGGACTCATAAGAGTATCGATTGATTCCCTCCATAAAATGATGATACAGATACTAAAATAGCCAAAGCTAAAAAACTTTACCTATTTGCATTAGGTTTGAAAATCCAGTACTATGGCTCAGCCTGGAAAGCAGAATTAACATTTAGGTAAAACCATGTACAAAACATAAACAGGAAAAAATAATAATCTGTGTCTGAGATGGAAGAGGCTGCCAGGGGATGGACAAGACAAGTAAACAAACCCCATCATTTCAGAGTCACATACCATCGCACTGTATTGCATTAAACAGATCTTGAGTCTGTGACAGAGCCCTGGCCGCTGACTTCATGTGTCTCAGGTACGGTTTTGTGGATTTTCCCAAGGGTTGTTTTTGGTGTCGCTTTTTTGTGTGTAGTTAAAAACAACAACAACAAAAAGGCAATCCAGGAGTAGTCTTTTTTTGTCTGTTTGCTTTAATGACTGGTTCTGCAGTGCCACAATTCTTGACCCCAGAAGAAAAGGCGGTAAAAGTCAAATCTTAACACGCAGGCAAGTCCCTCCATCTGGATATCCAGTTTGCTTTCCTCTCCTTGGCTGCAGACTGTGTTTCTCCTGGTGGACCTGAAAGCCGTCCAGAATGTGTGTGTGCTTGTGCGTGTGCATATGTGTGTGCATGTGTGTGCATGCGTGTGTGTGCATGTGAGTGTGTGTGCGCGCGCGCGCGCGCGCTCGTGTGTGTGTGTGTGTGTGTGTGTGTGTGTGAGTGTGTGTGCGCGCGCGCGTGCCGCGGGGCTTATTGTTGTGTTGAGAAGGCCGCTCCCAGGGGCCGGGGCCGCCTCTCCACCCGCGCCCCGGGCGCAGGGCAGCGGCCACCGGCGCCCCCGGGGCCGGCTGCGCGCTCGCCTCCCGCCTCCGGATTGGCCCGCAGCGCGGGGAGCCCCGACCCGCCGCCGCCCGCGCCCGGCCGTGCTCAGCCCGCGCCGCCGCCCCAGCGCCTTCCCTTTCTCCTGCTCGCCGCCCCGCCCGCCCCGCCCGCCCCGCCGCCCCGCGCGGGAAGCGCGGCTCTCCGCTTCCGCCTGGCGGCGGGAAGGAGACCGAGGGGAGGAGCGGGGGCGGCGCGGCGCTGCATATGCATCAGGGCGCCGGCGGCGGGGGGAGCGGCCCGGGGGTGTGGCGGCCGGCGCGGCGGGGCCGGTCTTAGTGCCGCCGGGCAGGGCGGGGGCGCCCCCCGTGGTGCTGCGGGTCCGGGGGCTCCGGGACAGCAAAGAGGGGAGAGGGCAGCGGCGCCCCGCAGCCGCGCACGATTCCTTCCCTAAGGAGATCGCGACTGCAGGACCGGAGTGACCGCCCCGCTTCCCGCCACGTTGCTCGGCCAACTTCGCCTGCAAGGCCGCGTGCCTTTCCTTTCCGCGTGGAAGGGCTTCTCACATGTCTGCGAAACTACCCGAGAGAGAGCACGTCTTATTGCCATTTGTGTGCAGTCACGGGATCGTCAGTAATCTAAGAGGAAGGGAGGAGGAGAAGTAACCAGCTCCAAAGAGACAGACCACCTTTGCGTCCCCAGAAGTAAACACTCTAGGCGCGATTGGATAGTGAGTGAATAATGCTCATACATAAAGCAGGCTTGATGAGTATTTTTTTAAAGTTATACACATGGACTTTTCTGTTCAGTTTTCAAAGGATTTATTTTTTAAGCATCTGTATGTAGTGCGGTAAAATAATGCCTGTTGTCACTACGTTGTGATACAATTCTGATTTTAAATGGAAATATTAAAGGTTAAAAAATATATATAACAAGAGCCTTACATGTACTTAGTACTAACCCACATGGGGTTTGGAAAAAAATATTTTATTACAGAAATCCTGTTATGTAATTGCACAACAGAAAACAATAGCTTCAAATATCCTCTAAAAACCCTGTTCAATTATGTGATTACCAGTGGGACTGGAATAACTCCCAATGAATTGTTCTTATCACTCTACTGAATGTGCGCATGTCAGTATTTTAATCCCAATCGTGTTTACCGTAAAGCCCAAAAGAATTTAAACAACATTGTTCAGGGTCTTAGTTCCAACAATGCATAATTTAAAACAAAAAAGACATTTTTGGCCTTATAACAACAAGAAGAAAAAAAAGGTTTTTCTTCTCCTGCACATATATATACACGTTTTGCTGTATGTGAATAATATATCTATTTTCTGTGATAATAAATACAAAACTAAAACTGGGGTTGATCCAATTTGACCTTAGAAAATGGCAAGCTTAAAACTAGGTTATTAAAGTGAAGGTCTAGCAGATCCCAATTTCCCCTAAAAAAAAAAAAAAATAAACCCCAAAACACAAAAAACCCTAAAAGTATATATCAATATATAAGTATAGTTTTGGGAATGGAGATTAAGAATGGGGGTACACACATACACATGTATATGTATACATATATGTTTGCATGTATCTCCACACTCAGCTATAACTTCCAAAGGAAAATTAAATTTTAACATTTATCTTGTTCCAAGTTAGTTATTTTT